AAGCAGCTGAAGAAAATTTTTTCCATGAAATTAAACAATTTGATCCAAGTAAATATACAGCTTCTGACCTTGAGTGGAATAAATACCGTCGCCTATGTATTCATTCTCGTGTTTTGAGCTATCTCTCTTCAAAACCAGTTGGCCCACATGTTCGGTCTTTCTTATGTTTCTTCTATGATGATTTTGACCTGCCTCTTTCCCTTATTTCTTCCATCCCTGGAGAATTTAAATTGCTCAGGGTCTTAGATGGTAAAGCAATTCATTTCCCTCGTTTTCCAAATGACCTAACTCAACTGATTCATTTGAGGTATCTCGTCCTCTCGTGCCATTCTAAGATTCTTCCTGCAACCTTTTCCAAACTTTGGAACCTGCAAACTCTTATAGTTCAGACGTCATCACGAACATTAGAAATCAAAGCAGATATATGGAAGATGATGAGACTGAGGCATCTAAAAACAAATAGCAATACATCCTCATCTTTACCAGACCCTGTCTTCTTGCTAATAAAAGTACAAGTACAGAAGCTTCTTTGATAAATGGAAACCTAAGAACACTTTCTGCAATATCGCCTCAAAGTTGTACACAAGATATCTCTGCAAGGGTTCCTAACATAAAGAAATTGGGTATTCGGGGCCCACTAGCTAATCTTTTGTCCACATTTGATCGTGTGGGAAAACTGGATTATCTTGAAAATTTGAAACTATTGAATGATGTACATCCTAAGCCAGCTTCTGAAGGAAAAATAGCTAGGTTTCCCCAAAAGTACCAATTTCCTCCAAAATTAAATAAGCTAACACTAGCAAACACTCGTCTTGATTGGAAGCACATGTCTACACTTGGAATGTTGGATAGCCTTGAGATCCTCAAGTTGAAAGACAATGCATTTGATGGTGAGAGGTGGCAAGCAGAGGATGGAGGTTTTCGTGTTCTCAAAGTCTTGCAAATTGGAAGGACAGATTTAGTTACTTGGGTGGCTTCTGCTCGTCACTTCCCAAGACTCAAGTCTCTTTAACTAGAATATCGTACTATGATGATAGATTAACTAGATTTTTAAGTTGAATTTTACTTACTAACTAGAATACACAAATTAATAATAATGGAGAAATCAAGTATCGAGGTATAAATGAATTAAAGAATAGTTTGGAGTCTCGATTTCACTAATTAATCATACTCATGTTCAATTCATATTTTGGCTTAATTGTTGTGTTGTCAAATAATAAATCAAAGATAAAATGCTAGAATTCATTTCTCGAGTACTTGTTAACCTATCTTTAAATATCAATCTTTCCTTTCTCGGTTAATAGATTATAAAATAATGCATAAGAGCTTAGGACGACCGCATGATTAAGCGAAAATATTTCAAGTTAACAAAAATTATTAAAAAGATTGGATGTTCTAACATGTTATTTTTTATTTAACATTAAACGTATATCAATGTAATTTAATCTCGTTAACAAAGTATTTTCAACCATGTCAATTTGGCAAAATGTCTAACCAAAAGTCTTAAAATAATGAATTAAAAGATGAGTGGATTTCAATTAGCTATATTGTTCTTCCTAACATATAACTTAGCACAGAAACAAGGTGAATGAATCAAAACATGAAGAATTTGACATAGATATCCAATTTATTCTAGGAACGTAAGGATGGAATAAATCTTTTCAATCTTTTATCGTGAACCCCAAAACTCGGAATTCTTCGAACTTGGATTTTCATTATCTTGTCTTAATTTCTTCCCAAGATGATTAATTATGGTGTTTTTCAATTGATATCGAAGATACCTTAATGTTTAGAGGAAATTACACAAAACCAT